GGGGGATGAAGTAAAAGTAAAACAAGCAGGCCTAATAAGCCTACCCAAATCAGTCAGGAGATTAGAACCACTATTGTTTCCCACAAAAGTTTTATTCAAAAAATTACTGTTGTAAATAAGTCTTATTTGAACAAAAGAAGCTACTCCCTCTAGGGTCCTAGGATTATTTAGCTTACTTGTTGATCAAGTTGGATTAACACTATATATATCATAGCCAAGCTTTTAGTTTTTGGGTTTTGATATGAGAGCCATATGAGAGTTATTGTATTAGGTTTTGAGTTATATTTTCCTATGGGGAATGACACCCATAAGGGGTATTTGATATATTATGTACCTCACATCGGTCTTTGCGTCAAAAAGAAACTGGACAAGCACTGTGGGGCGGAGTAGTATTTTTGCTCAAACTTGTTAAATGAAATCGGTCTTAGTTTGGGTTCAGTCTAGACTGAATTTTTTAGGTCCGGTCATAGACTATTAGACTGAATACTTTTAGTAGGTGTGGTCTTGGGTCCTAATTTTTTTTTTTTGGTCTTCAGTTCTGAATTTTTTTTATTTTGATCTTCGTCTCCCAAAATTATCCCTCATTTCCTTAAGTTAAATGTGATTCACATTCTCGGAAAGTCAAAGCGTAATTGTCATCCAATCTGTCTTCCCATTGAATGATTGAGGGAGTTAAAAAAATATTCCAAACTAGTTAAGTATGTTAAATTTAGTTCAATCAACATTCTTTTAAAAAAAGCTATAGTTTATGATTTCCAATAGTTTTGACCTTACCAAAAATTAAAACTTAAACAGTTATACCTTGATAGTTTTGACCTTGCCAAAAATTAAAACTTAAAAAGTTATACCTTGATAGTTTTGACCTTACCAAAAATATGGTTTTAACGGAAATACAATAACACATTGTTTCAATACAATAACCATATTCTGAGATAAAAACATGTCGTAAGAGTGTGGCTCAAACACTAGCTTGAAACAGCCTCTCTATTCGTTTTGATAGAGGTAAGGTTTGTGCACATCTTATATACCGAGTTTTATTTACCGGTATGCTTTGCTTGCTTGAATTCAATTCTTATACGACGACGTGCTTTTAATATCGTAATTTCCATTGTTTTTTCAGGATCGATTGGGGCAATTATGATGTCATCAAATTGAATGGTTTGCTTGAAATTAGGAGTAAAAAAAGTTGGAGCAATTACACCACTGAAATTTGAATCCCTCATTGCTTTCAGCTGGTTTTATTTACTTGTATGTACCATGAATGTTGTATTTTATTATTATATTTATTTTTGGTCTCATTTGTACTGTAAATTCTCATGTACATTGTACATTATCTTTGACTTGTTTAGCTAGACATTTTTTTCTCCATTGCTAGATTGATTTATACAGTAAGTTTTAGCTGCCAATTATGTTCCTTTAGGAATTCAAGAGGCAGGGTATAGTTATATATATAAATATATCTCAATGCCAGTTACATCTTCGTGTTGTTTTTTGCTAGTGCTTTTGGAGACTTAGAACATTATGGCATTTGATTAGTTTTTGCCTTATGGTAAAAACATCAAAATGATTCACACATAGTAAACATTAAGTTTGGTTTCGGACAGAGGGGGTAATATGCCTCTATGGTTGTTTTTTTGGGTTAGAATTTTAGAGTTTGATGTTAGAAAAAGCTGGAAGGAGTTGGAAGAAACTGGAAGAATAAAAGCGTTAAAAAGTCACTTAATTAAATTATTATCAAAATAAATATGCAAGATAATTCTAATTTTAAATAAAAAAGAATTCATCTTTGTCCGAGTTTGAGGGAAAATATTATAAATTTGGATAAAGAATGTTATTATATATTAATATTGTTTTTAAGTCGGAAAAAAATGGAAGGAATTGAAAAGAATTGAAAAAATTGAAAGAAATTGAAAGGTATTTGAAATAATGTGAAGTTGATTTTTTAAATTCAAAAGAATAGGGCCTGAATAGTGTCAGTTTTTGGATACTTCGTCATGTATACTCTTTCCATATAATGGAGAGTTTCACGCATCCTGTTTTTTATTGCTTCAATATATATTTTACACTTTTTTCAGGTTTTAGAGAATTTATTAGTAAACTCAAAATATTTTTCTCTGATGTCACAAGTTTTATTCACACTTAGGCCTATATTGAGTGAGTAAGAAAGACTAAGATAAGAGTAAACATAGAAAAATGATCTAAATAAGTAAAGTTTTATTCACATTTAAGCCTATATGAATATCATGGTGCCATTTAATAGTAAAATTTTGTACTGACATTTTATGTAACTATAAACCATTAATTTTGTACTCATATTGATACAAAATATAAGTATAAACTTTTGGAGTGTCATACAAATAGATTTATTGTTTGGAAAACAAAAAACATATTGAGTCAGTCGACAACTCAGTCAATAAACTTTCAATCCAGGCTTTAACTGGCCCTACAAGAAAGTGAAACTACTTATCTATTGTCTCCCTCAGATTCCTTTCTTTATTTTTCCAGCAAAAATACGGAGCAATTTTTTTTTTTTAGTACCAGGGGCCTGCCAAATTTGTTTCTCCTTCCACCAAATTTTAAAAAAATAAATTTAAAAAATAAGATAAGCTCCAACTTTTTGTATGTCTTAAAAAAAATTCCATGTTTTACTTTTATAACAACTAGTTTTGTGACCCTTATAATTTCTATCTTTTCTTACACGACTTGCAGTCACATAATTTCCTCCTTATTTAATCTCTGTGTTTTGTCAAATGTGAAAGTTTTTTTATGAGATGTAGGGAGTATTTATAATTAACTCTTTATAGAGAGCACTTCAATTATTCTGTTTTTTTCTTTTTTAAATGGTTAATGTCACCCTACTTTAGTCATAAATTACGTTTCGAAATATTTGTGTGGTTTATATTCATTTTTATTTTTTACTCTACTTTGCACGCTAAAAAAGATTAAGTGATACATCTCACAAAAATAACTTAAAAATTTTTATTTAGAAGTTATTGATGTGGCTCGAATTACTTTTTTTATTACATGAATTTTTTTAAATAAGACAACAAAAATGCAGTTCGCTATAATAATACTTCGAAACTTTTAAATTCAACCATTATTTTTCTTATCTTATCTTAATTATTCTTTTATATAATACTCTGTAATTTTTAATACAAAATAATATCATTAGTGCACGAGGTTCAATTATTTTCATAAATGAAGTTTGTACAAAAATTGTTTTTCATTGATCCAGCAAACGTTGAATTGTTTGTTTTTTTAGTGGTAAATAACATTAGTAAAAAGGGTCTTTGGAGTAAACAAATACGGAGTAAAACAAAAATGAAAACGTCAAAATAGGATTTCTAAGTATTTTAAGTACTCCAGACTTTAACATTTACCAATTAAGAGTACAAATTAAGAGTTTCTATTGTTATACAGTCACATTTACCACATTCTCATAGTGTAACTGTCATACTATCACTGCCAGAGTGTCATTCGTCAATGCTGGCCACTAGAATTCTGCCCCCATTGCTGGCAGTTGATACTGTCATTACTTTTTCATCACAATGTCAACACGTAATCTACATTACAGTGCCATTAAACTCATATTTTTGTCGTAAATGAGTAGGACTCTTATTGTAATATTTTCATACCTTTTTATTTTTATCTTGGTAGATTTCTTTAATTATTACTCCAAAACAATGATTTGTTTTTAAACTTTGCTTTTAATTAACATTAAGAAATAATTCAAAACTATTTGCTCATATACTGTTTCATTGAGAAAAAAAGTATTGGGACATTATTCATACGGTCGAATTTTATTTGCTTATTTTAATTTCATTTATCATTTCATAATATTTTATAAATGTAATTTCATAGCTTGTTTTTAAAAACTTTTTTTGTTATTTTTAAGTATATAAATTTTACGCCAACAATCATATTAATTAAAATTAAAAATAAAATTGATCAAGCCTCGTAAAGGAAAATGAGAAATTCAATTCAAGGAGGGGTATAAAGTAAGAAACTAGAAAAATGTGTGCTTGATATTTGATGTGAAAATACATGAAGAAAAAGAGAAAAAAGAGTAAATACAGGATATTATAGAATATAATTTTTGAGTACAATATTGAATATAGCTTGAGAAAATAATAATAGACCATCAAAAAAAATTTGAAAAACAAAAAATGTAAAATGAATGAAGAGCATTAGTACGGTTATTACTTATTATAGCTATAACCGATGCAAATACCTTTTACATCAGTTATTAGTAAAAACCAATGCAAAAGACAAAAAGGTATTTGGATTGGTTATTAGTATATTAGTAATAACCCATGTAAAAGAAAAGCAATTGGCAAAACGAATGGCACATTTGTATTGTTTTTTAAGTAACTGATGCAAATAAGACAGTCTATTTAGTCATTTTTGTAGTAGTGTTTTATTGGAGTGCAAATACCAATTGACACAAGAGAATAAAATAAATACTAAATAGTAATGGCGATGCATATATGGAGCTTGACTCTGTTTTCAAAATAAGGATCTTTTCATCACCCCTTCCTGTTTGTTTTTCTCACCGCCAATTCCCATCAGATATACTTTGTGGGCCCACCCTCTTCTCTTCCCTTCCTAGAAATTCTTTATGCTTAATCACCATAGTTGAGCTATTTCTTAGTTAATTCAACCACGCTTTGAATTCCCCCATGCCACAAATAATTAATATCATGGATTATCTGTGTATTTTTTATTATATGTAAAGAGTGGTTTAATGAAATTAAGGCTCTCTTCATTTGACTTAAAAAAATAAAATTAATCTTGAAAGAAACAAGTTAAGAGTAAAAGTAATTAGAAAAGTCACTCCATGAAAAGGGTTAAAAACCCAGAAGAAGTTAAAAAAATCTGGAGGGAATTGGTTATGCCAAAAAATTTTGTGTTGTTTAAATATTGAATGACTTGTACTTAGTTTTATTTCTCTTTATTTTCAATCATACTTCTTCCATCTCATAAACTTTTCAAAGTCGAAAAAATAAGTGCCCTAAAATGTATAATTTTGATACTCATGTGTTATTTTCTAATTATATCTTGTTTATTCTACATATTATATCTTAGCTTAATAATCTCTCCGTCTCAATTTTAGTTATAATTTTTTTCTCTTTTCTCGATAACTTCTGTATGTTTTTATCTTTTCATTGATTATTTGATAAAATAATAGTATATTCTTGTCATCTCTTATTTTATAGAAATTTGGATGTAGTTTTTAATAATCCGTATGTAATTTTTATTTTTATTTATGTAAAAAATTGAAAATAAAATAATTTCAAAAGATACATGTGTTTTTACGTCGTAAATTTTAATTTATAATGAAATTTGGGACAGAAGATAAATGAAGTAAGAAATAAAATTAGAAAATAATATCAAAATTATATATAAATCAAAATACATAGTATCAAACTTTATTTGATTTCAAATGAATTACTCTCTATAAATAACCATTCTAATAATTGAATAAACTGGGATTTGGGACACACACAAAGTACTAAAGTCTAAAGGACAGAAGAGACAAGAGAGGACAAAACAAAATGACCCCATTAAAGACAAAGCAACCTAAGCTACATACATACAAATCCCCACACACTCTCTCTCTCTCATCATATACCCACAACATTTAAAGGAGAGCCTTCTTCTCTTCTTTTCCTTTAATTCCTTACACTCAAATAAAGTCAGGCATGGCTAATAATACTGTCCCAGACCTCTGCTTCAAGAAGCACTACTTGTCTTCATCTTCATCATCCAAAGTTATCAACAATGAAGAAGAAGAAGATGGAGATGAACAAGAACAAGAAGAAGAAGAAGAAGTGAAAGTGGTGAAACCCATAGTTTCAAACGCAGAAGAAGATCATGACCCAAAAAGGAGCAGGAGAAAGAGGCTACAATCATCAGTTGCAGTCTCCAGGCTCATGAGATCTGTCCTCGCCATCCTGGCGAGGAACAGGAGAATTAACATGTTCTCCCATCCTCGCCAGGATGGCCGTCTGGGGACGCGGGTGGTGGTCGGGACCCTGTTCGGATCCCGACACGGCCACGTCCACCTGTCCTTCCAGAAGGACCCCGCGTCCCCGCCTGTCTTCCTGGTGGAGCTGGCCACCCCGACGTCCGGCCTCGTCCGAGAAATGGCGTCCGGCCTCGTCCGGGTCGCACTGGAGTGCGACAAGGACGAGGCCGGCGGCAGGGCGGGACCCGCGGGTCCCCTCCTGGACCGGCCGGGGCCGTGGCGGACGTACTGCAACGGGAGGAAGTGTGGGTTCGCGGCGCGGAGGGACGTCGGGGAGAAGGAGTGGGAGGTCCTGAAGGCGGTGGGGCCCATCTCGATGGGCGCCGGGGTGTTGCCGCCGAGTGGGAATGGAGACGACGGTGGCGGCGGCGGCGGCGGGGGCGAGGTGATGTACATGAGAGCCAAGTTTGAGAGAGTTGTTGGGTCTAGAGATTCTGAGGCGTTTTATATGGTGAATCCAGATAACAATGCTGCTCCTGAACTCAGTATTTACTTGCTCAGAGTCTGATGATGATTTGAAACTATGGAAACTCAACTTAGTAATTTTTTTTTTCTATCTGAGTATTTCACTTTTTACAGTGTCTTAATGGAACACTTTATTTTTACATAGATATATATATTATACCTATAAATATGATATTTGAGAAATATATTTCAATTTAATTCTCTACCTCTATGTCCATTCCTAGCCTGCCGCAGGTCTCTTTATCCTTTAACTTTATGTTTGATCATATTTTTCACAGTGGGTCTTTAGCTTTGTTGAACAAACTTTGTTGCTATGTTGTCCATGAAGAGTGAGGGTAAAATGGGAATTCTATTGTCTTGTAACTATTCCTTCCTTCCATAAATGATATTCCCAATTAACATGTTTCACTAAAATTATTTTTAATTTAATTTACTTAAATATCACTCACTCTGTTCGTAATTGAATTGCTCATCATTCCGCTTTATGAGGCTTAGCTCGATTAATTATAATTTCACTTGATATAATTGGGGTAGGCGAAAAACCAACTAGCTTGATACCATACCGGACCATAATGGTATCGAACCGTTTATAGTGTTTTCAAACGAGATTGCTTTTTTTCATCACGAACTGAAACCGATTAGCTGATATCAAATGGGACGGGACCGTGATACAAATATTTAAAGCCGATTATCACAGACTGAACCGTGCAAAGCTATATACGGAGTACGTATCTCAAATAATTATGGAGTATTTGTATCCTTAATCTTACCGTATATAGAGTACTTCAAAGTTTATTATTCATTTTTAAATTCTTTCATTATTATTGTTGTTATTATATTTATTACTACTATTGGCATTATTTAATTTTTAACAGTTATTAATAGTCCGATATTATATGAATTGAAAATTTTTTTAAATTTGGACTTGATACTTTTTATTCTTTATGTTTATCATCCGTTGAAATTTGAAATCAATACTTCTATTTAACAAAGTTATGCTTTTTATACAAATTTATACATAAAATTCAATATTTTTTGAGTAACGTACATTCATTTTATTACATGGTTTGAGCACGGGTATGGTATTGTAACGTTTCGTTACAAAACAGAATGGTACCTAATGATTTTGTAATTCATCTCGTACCGATACTAAACCATTTGAATAAGAACGGTCTGTAATAAGTTCTGATAGTATCATGCCCACAATGATAAGAGTAAAAATTACGAAATATGAAACTAGGGGTTTTAAGTTTTTTAAGATCAAAATCAAAGTATAATGACAGTGTGATGTATGAGTATTGGTAGTGTGGTAGAAAAGTAATGATAGAGTAATAAGCCAGTGTCATCCATCAACTGCTAGCGGCCACCGAACAATGTCAGGGATCGGAGGCGGCACTCTTGTGGGCAGCAGCGACGGATGATAGTGTGACAATTGCGGTAAGACATTGTGATGAATGTGGCAGTGAAAATGACAGTATGGACTTTTATTTTGGTCTTGAAAATCTTGTTAGGACTCCTATCTTGGTATTATCATATTTTTTCACTCTTATCCAGAGAGACTAATCTTACTATATACAATGCTTGGATCCCTTTTTCTACCGTTCCCGTCCATTTTAGTGCTACAGTACCCGTGTGAGTTTTGGACCGCACATTCAGAGATAATAGAAAGCTTCTTGCGTACACATCTAGGGAGAGAGAGAGCGTATGGAGTACACATCTATAGAGAGAGAGAGTATGGAGGAAGAAAGCTTTCCTTTAGATCTACCTGTTCTTTCTTCTCTTTCTTTGCAGCCGGCTTCACCGTCTTCCATCAGACGTGCGTTGCCTCATGTGCGCTGTCTCACTTCTCAAATTGGAGGTCGACGATCGCCGTCCAGTTTTCTTTCTCCTGCGGCCATTAACGGAGGAGCTTCGGCGGCCATTAAAGGAGGAGCTTCGGGCAGAAATTGTAGGCCAGGTATGTACATAGCTTCAATTAAAAATTAGGTTTGATTTTCCATCTCAACTCTAAAAGTGTTACTTAAAAATATATTTTGACTGCATCCATTTTTTCCATCATCTTCTTCGGCTTTTACCTATTATTCATGTTTGAAATAATTTTGATTTTCTTTACAAAGTTAATGCTTTCTTTTCGGTGCCTCTTTTTCGAACGTGAGCCCTGGTGGCAGTTGACAGAGCACCATAGCCCGTTTTCTTCACTCCATGAGTTTCAATTCTTTCTAATTTTTCAGATTCACACAGGTAATATACCAAATTGTTGCACTGCATCAGCACTAACCTCCCTCTCCAATTTTTTAGGATCACTAATGTCTAATTCCAATTTGCAGAATCAGTGAATCAGGGACTGGGTTGTCTAATATACCCGCGCTATTTGGCCAAGTTATAAATGTTGTGGTTCTATTGGAGATGGCAGATCATATGTGATGCCGTGTTCTTCAAAATCCTGATTTTTTTTGGTTTTTTGTGATGCCTGGATTCTACTAACATACATTTTTTAGATATTTCACTTGGCTGTGGGTCCTATGTTTTTGGATTATTTCATTCTAGCCATTTTATCCCCTGCCATAGACTCACAACCACTTTTTTTTGTAATGTAGGCAGATCGAAATACATGACACTATTTTCAAACCAAACAAGCAAGATTTGGGCTTTGACCGAAGGTAATGTTGTGTCATGACAACTATTAATGGACAGTGTAATGTAGACACATATTGATAAACAACACAAATAAACTTGAATTTGGCGTATATGTGTTGTTTGCTGATAATATTGCATTGCCATTCATTATTGTTTTTGATATGGAACAAGATACATCTATTGCAATTTCTTTTGATGATATTCTTGAAGGACAAATAGTTCATTGATGGAAAGAACATTACGTGAATTTGCAAAATGTATCCTGTTGGAAAGAACAATACTAAATTCTAGCCATTAACCCACTGCTGTTCATGAAAGCAATAGGGAGATCTTCTGGTGCCGTCAGTAGGTCATAGAGCTGCTGCACCAGAGAGGCTTTTTAATATCCTCTAGGCTTATGAAATGGGTTAGTCTTCTTCCTTAAATTGTTCTTCTTCCTTAAATCGTTCAACCCTTTAAGGAAATGCTTGATTTTTTTCGGAGTGATCTCTAGCATTAGGGTTGAATTGCAGTCGCCACTATAATAGGTGGATGAGATGGTTGTGGTTGTATTCCATACTCCGGAGTTTCAGATTCATCAAAAAGGCTGCTACATCTGTTAATTGCAGAACCTTAATTAACATTTGAGAGTGAGCTATAAATCGAAGTTAGAATAATGATTTTAAAAAAGATGGTAAATTGACCTATGCAAAATTTTAATATGGTGCTGTTTTGTTATTGAGCTTGGCAATGTATTAGTTAATTTATTCATAACTAATAATTCTTTATTTGACCAGATTGGGAGGTATTGACACATTTATACTCTTTGGTTGAAGTTGACCAACAACATTAAAGAGCTTAAGACCATTGTTGCTTTGTTTTTTAGCTGAGCAATGTCTCAATTTGGTGATTTTTTGTTCCCACTTAGTGCATGTGTTAATTCGTGGAATTCATCTTGGGTTTTGAGATGTGTAGCTTATTATGCTCTCAACTATTTAGACCGAGGAGCATTCTGCTTTAGATGTTTTTTTTATTCTTTTTTTGGTTTTCACTTTCTTTTTTGGAGTTGTTTTAGTTTGTTCTTCCTTTCTTCTTTGTCCTTCCTTCTTTCGATCCCTATGACAAGGTAAGATATGGAGGGAGCTTCTTTTTTGCTAAAAGTTTTTATCTTGAATTTAATTTTTTTGATTTACTCCTCTTAAAGCCTCTCAAATCAAGGGATGTGATATTTTTTTCATAGAGAATATGCCCCGGCCATTAAGCAGTCTCCAATTTGATCCATTGCATGCTTCTCATAAGTGGAGATGGAGTAAATTCCCTTCTCAAGTAGAATCAAGGGAGACTGATATCTCAAAACTTTCTATTCAAAATGACCCATGAGCATGGTCATACAAAATGACCCATGAGCATGGTCAAAATGAGCCCCAAGGGAAAATGATATTTCAAAACTTTCTATTCATACTATATATGTAATTTTGTATGTTTCTTGTGCTTGATGTTTCAATTATCCTCTAAGATATTTGTTTGATAGAAGTCCTCATATAAAATTATACATTAGACTGAAGAGTGTATTATTAATTAATTGCATGTTGATATTTTTTCCCAGATTTCTAAATGTTCTCATCTGAAGCGTAGGAAGGAATTTGGTCATTTTATTCTTTTTGTAAAGATAGTTATTTGGGTTTATGTAAAGATTCACGATGAGTTATCCAAGATATTGATCTTCTTATGTAGACTTATTCTACCATTCTACCAACACTTATACTTTTTGTATAATTTGTGGTATAGCTAATGTTGCTCGATCTACTATTAATCTATCAAATTGGAAAAATTTATTTTTTATTTTTTTTCATGTATACCTTTTAAAGTCTTTAACTATGTCATTAGTTCATAAAAATTTACCTTAAAAAAAATATAATAATGTATGACTAATCATTGATTAGATTTTGAACTTCAAATAGCAAGATGTAATTTTGTCACAATGGTTACAAATTATATATTTTATTTCAATAAATATATTTTAAAAAAAATACTAATTTTTAAAATTATTTTTCAGTCCGTGCAACGCACGGGTACGAGTCTAGTTTAGGACAATATTTTGAGAGGGCCGGAGTGAATATAAAAATCACAATTGCCACAATTGTCAACAATTTCAAAACATGGACACCAATGTTTAGTACACACAATAACATGAAAAAAGAATGTTATGTTTTTGGGACCATATATATGTTACAGGGCAGGGCAAGAATTAATTACAGTCATGAAAAATGAAAGATTGACGTAATTAAGGATTTCAATAATACCCCTCCCGGGCATAATTAGCTCTTGTCATGATCATGTAGTCCATTGATTGTGTTCAAAAGATTCAAAAGTGGTGTGCTGGGCGTGCATAAAGTTAAAGGACTTATATATACATGCATGTATTTATAGATAATATATATAATCCATCTTTAATCAAGTAATTAATAACATCATCATTATGCATAGATATGATAAGCAATATATATAGTG